CGATCGTGTGTCTTGTGAAATGTGTGATTATTGTTACGAAGGTTTTTGATGTGGTGAGCTCGATCTTGGCAACCAGTCGCAACCCGGACAGCAGCTTTGAAAGTTTGAAGATGCGCAATTGCAAGCTCATCTGTATGAGGACTCAAAGCAAACGCAACAAGAGCTTGCAGCAGCAGAGTTACGCGTAACCCATACAGCTATTTCCAAGTGTTTGCATCACCAAATGGGAAAAATTCAAAAACTTCGAAGTTGGGTCCCCACACATGTGTTCACCAAACACAACTCGGATCAATATGCCTCTCACTGCTTGCCTGTAGGCAACAAGCAGTGTATGGACTTCTTGTGGCAACTTGTGACGGGTGAAGAAAGGTCCATTTTTAACGATAATTCCAACCGTAAAAAGTCGTGAGTAGATCCCGGGCAAATACAATAGTGCATCGACGCTGAAACAGGACATCCACTTGAAGAAGAGTCTCCTGCGTATCTGGTGGAACATGAAGCGTGTACTTTACCACGACCTCATGGAGACTGGTCAGCCGGTGACTACGGAACGGTACTGCCGACGACTGAACAATCTGAGCGAAGCACTTGATCAGAATGGGACCATTTACTTGGCAAGGAGGCGGGCAAGTTATACTACTGCTGCATAACAACGCTCGACCACCTCACGTTGCTCGCGCTACTCACAGGACACTCTTGAACTTGGGATTGGAAGTTCTCCCACACACGGAACATTCACCAGACTTGGCCCCACCCCTTCCGACTACTGTTTGCTCCGGCCAATGCAGCAGCATCACGCCTTAGTGGATAAGCAGTCTCTAAAACGCTAATCGGTGTGCATAAAATCGTGAATGACTTGAAGCCTGCAAGTTTCGTTCGCGACGGCATTCGTACATTACCCGAGAGATGGCGCAAGGTCATAGAAGACGGTGGACAATATTTCCAAGATTACGTGCGCCGCTCTCTGTCATGTGTATTCAATAAATTTGCAGAAGAAAATCTGTGCAAATAAGGTCATAAGCCTGAGGGAACCGAGAAGAGCCTACCTCAATAGTGGCGTTGGAGCAGCCAACAACGAGGTGTCCGGTGGAGGGGAGCATCTTCATGGACCAGACGGCGCTGTAGCGACGCGAGCGATCCTGACTGTTCAAACACACACCCCGGCGCTGACAGGAGTCTGAAGAGAATCTAGCGTGCAAAATCCGAGCAAATTCCATACGCGCACAGCCTAACCACACGCACACACACACACACACAGACAATCCACAGTTTCAACCACGCAAACACACACGCACTTGTTCTTACCTATCAAGGGTAGACACCAGGTGGCCGCATTCGCAACTCCACAGACGGATGCTTCGAATGAGCACGGCGTCGCCGCCCAAACCGCAGAAGGCAGCAGCGACGAGGCCGTTGGCGGACTCGCCACTGTGTCGACGTCTGTTCAAGCTAGACGGGTTGAAGGTGGCGCTGGTGTTCCACAACAAGGCAGCATCTCCGCAGTTTTCATCAAGAGCTCCACACGCGAGGATCCAGTCGTTGTTCAAGAGCTCCTTGTCGTACAGGGGGATGCTCATTTGCATAACACGCACAACCGGCTCCCTGCAGGCGTTTGGCTTGGAACTAAACGCAAATTCAGGCAATTGGTTGAAAGGGAAAAGGCGGAAGAGGTGTAGTTGGAGGGGGGTGGGGGTTCGACTCGCCTGGAGAGCCACTTGTGCACGAGCAGCATGCCGACCGCGGTCAGGGTGAAGAAGAAGCTGGCACCGAGGAGGGTGGCTGTGACCATCTGCGCAGTGGACCAGAAGCGCGCTGTCCAGTCCAGAAGCAGGTCGCTCCACGATAGGCCGAGTGCCGCTAGGGCCTCCTTGTGACCGAAGGCAAGCACGTGCGACCACCACGTTCGGTCGCCCTCAAAGTCCTGCTCCTCTGCAGTTGAACTTGGCGGTGCTGAGAAGCCGGATGATTCGCTAAAGCGTTCAGACATGCGTGTGTTACATGATTCTCGCGCGTAAGCGCCGATGAATACTGATGCAAGCTGTCGACACCACACCGCATTGCCTCAAATTCATTGAAATACAATTTAACTTTCATCTAAAGTGTTCTGTCATATAGAAACACACACTTCTGTGGAAAATGTGAGTTGACCGGGATCGACTCACAACTTTTTAAGGTTGGGATCCTCGTTTAAAAAAAAATACTTTTCGTCACCCATCACAAGTTGCCACAGGAAGTCCACTCACTGCTTGTTGCCGAGGGGCAAGCAGTATGAGACATGTGTTTATACGTTGACCTAGATGCTGTGTTCGGTCAACATATGTGGGGGACCCAACTTCCAAGTTTTTGCATTTTTACCATTTAGTTGCGTAGACACTTGGTAAAAACGCTGTATGGATGACTCCTAACTGAGCGACTGAAAGCTCATGTTACGTTTGCGTTGAGTCTTCACGCAGTTGAGCTTGCAATTCCACATCTTCAAACTTTCCGTGCTGCTGTCCGGTGCGCGACTGGTTGCCAAGATCGAGCTCACCACATCAAAAACCTTCGTAACAATAATCACACATTTCACAAGACACACGATCGGCAGCACCAAGAACACTACAAGTTGACTCCCTCCGTGCTTTAGAAGCAGCGTTTTTGGCATGTTGGAATTCGTGTGAAATGCAGTGCCGCCGAATGTGCTGTTTACCAGTTGCCATCGTCGTAAACTCGGTCATTGTGAGAGGTTTTGTAGACTTGCCGTTCGGTGTTCTGGAGCCTTGCGCCTGATCCTTTCAAAACCCCACAAGACCACGAAGATATTTCCATTTTAAATGCATAATTATAAGTTCAAAGAGGAAATGTGTACAAAGTAAGTCATACGCCTAGTCCTATGAGGCCAAATAAGACTTGTGTAGTGCGTTTGAGGAGAACGTGGTCTGTTAAGGCCGACAACTGAGCTGATTTAAGAGTTTGTGGGAGATCTGTACCCATGTTACCCATGAGGTTAAGGTATTTACACCACAGTTACCAACGCATGTACAAGCAGTGTCATGAAAAGTTGTAGAAATGGGCTTAGAATTTCTGCTGAAGTTTGAAATTTGAAGAGGGATTCAATAAGCCACAAAACGAGGGCGCTACGCATCTTCTAGGAAGCACAAAACAGAGCCTCGAACCTACGCGTATCCGCCTTCACGAAAGGCCTCAGCCGATCTGGAAGGGGTGTAGGCCGGCGGCCGAAGGTGCATGGCCTGCTTGGGATGGACACGCTGCACAACATGAATCGGCTCGAACACCACCAGCCGACGATCAGCCAGAGAGAAGTTGTAGACCTCGGCTATGGCAGGCCACGCTGAGAAGGCCACGTGGCGCCATAGAGTCTCCGCGTCCCAGCGCAACTCGAAGCCGTGGCGGTTGATGGAGCGCATGCCGTAGAGCTGCTCGTCGACGAAGCCATCTTTGGAATCCGGCGACGGGAAAACGCCCCCACGCCGGTCGTCCGCCAGCCGGTTGCGGTGGTGCGCCGCCGACGCCCCGTCACCCAAGCCGCCGTTTCGGCCAGACAACGAGGTCGGAATGAACGCGTAGCAGAGGAATACCACGAGCCACACCAGTATCACCGCCTACGCAGGGGAGAGTGGGTACAAGGCATTGAGTACACTCATTCGGCAATGCCATCTCCAGCACTCACTCAAATTGGACAACATTCAAGCGAGGCCCTACATCAACGTGACGAGATTTACACACACACACAGTGGAAAACCCTCTTTGTGGACGAGCAATCTGCCTTGACGAGAAACACGGCCCCACTGGCTAAGCGGATGGTGAAATTGGAAGACGGTGAGAAGTAACTTGGCAGCGATGTGTCGCCACAGGCGCAGACACGAACCCCATTTTCGATTTTGAAGTCATTAATTACGCGCAGTCAAATCAAGTTCTTCCTCAAACCACCCACCACACACATCGACACTTGGCGTCTCAATGTCAACCACACATTGTGAAAAGATCAAAACCAAGGTGGGCTGAGTCAGCGTCAACAGTTACAAAGACTAAAGCTCCGAACGATCTACCCCATTAGATGAAATATGTATTTCTCAAAAAAAACTAGATTATTCATATGATAGAATCAACCAATGGGAGAAGGCCGTAGTTTGGCGATTTCACGGCGACACTAATTTGGATCTAAAATTTGTAGGGCTACCGAGAAAGTAGGAGCGAAAAATCGTGCCACCAGAAGCAAACGATTACCAAAAATGCTGTCTGTAAATTTCAATTTTGTCTAATCTGAGAAAGGCACGTAATGTTACAGTCTCCATCCTTCATTGATAATAATTAAAAACGTGTCAACTGTGTGCAATTTTGAGACAAAAGTTAACAGATCCCACCCACACACTCATCAAAATGGCAACATATTCTTCGATTAAAGGCATAAATCAACTGGTGAGTAGTTGGCAGACGCTTGACAAAAGCGCTTTACCAGAAATGGTAGTGGTGAGATATCAGTAAATTCAGCTAGACATCAAGTCCAATAGGAGTCAACACACACACACACACATATATATACGAGCACAATTTAGAGAGTATCGGATCCACCCCTAATTGATTATCGGAAATTCGAGACTGCAGGCAACCGACAGTCAAATGTTGCCCATCAACACGGAAAGTCACTTTCCAATGTGAATCACAACATCAGCAGCCGAATAACGACCAAATACTCTCACGGCAAACGCAGAAATGAAGTCGAGAGATACGACCAAAGTTGGCATTTGGGCATCGCTGCCAAGTGTTTAAGTCGACGTGACATTCCGGCGAGGGGAACATCTAAGAAGCAAAAGAGCGCCTTCAAAGTGACTCACTACTCCGACGTCCTGAACAACGCGACGGTTCGCAGCGTACATCCAAAAGCGCTCCCTCAACGACACAGCACGTCCGCCCGAATTGGCGCCGAGTGTCGTGTAGGCAGCCGCCGACACGTCTACAACGGTTGGGGTTAGAAAGTTAGCAGGGCTTTGAGTAGACCACTGGAGAGTCACCAAACTACAGCACCTCACCAGAACGAACACGCCGGTGGCCAGAGAAGGTCTGACTGGTCGGGGGGTTGGGTGATTTGGCGCGTCGGTGGCAGTCGGTTTGCGGGAGTGAAGAGCAAGTGGCGGAGACGGAGCGACAGGCCACCGGCCCACCGCCGGCGTGGCACGCGACGCCCTCGCGACCGTGTCGCGGTGCTTCCGGTTCCACCCTCGCAGAGGACAACTCCACGTGGCGCTGAAGGTCCGAGAGCTGCGTGGAAGAGGGTCGTGGAGGTGAGTGGTGAGGAAACAAGCCTAGAAAACACTTTCAACATCAACTCAGGACTGCACAAACCTCCATGCGTCGAATGTCGATGGCGAGGACGGTGACGAAGAAGAACATTTGAAGGAAGAAGTCCGTGGTGAGGCTGATCATTGCGATGAGACAAAACTCCTGGATTGCCGAATCGAAGGTGAGAAAGCCGAGCGCAGTGCACACGAACTCACAGAACAGGTTTTTGGTGATTGGCCAGCCCTCTTTGGCCAGGCCTAGAAGGTGGAAAACACTGAATAAAGCAACAAGTGGAAAGCCTTCTAAGTCAACAAAAATCGTGCTACATGATGATGGTGTTGTGAGTAGTGAAGTTAAAGGTAGGGCGTAAAATTTCAGACACGATCACCCTCAACATTCCTCAAGACGCGATGACAGTCTAAATGGCAATTCTGATTTGTTTGTCAACAGACGCGCCATCTTCTACACCCGTATGGACTGCCCTCATCCTATTATTGGCCAGCCTACACAAAGATGCTCTAGAATGAACCATTGATAATACCTGAAACCACTAATAGATATATTCACCTGTATTACCAAAACATGAGACATGACTTTGACATTGTCTGGCTCGTCAAGATAACTAGATACCGTATTTCAATCGATCTGAAGTAGCACCGTGTTTAAAATAGAGCAAAACCGACCTATTGAATGTCTAAGATTGTCCGTAAAAAAGTAAAATTTGCCATTTAAACACGTTTAGAAGCTAATACAACGCGATAAAACGATTTAAGCTCGGTACGTGTCACCGTAGTCCAACTCTAGGCCCTTAGTTTGCTACCATTTTTGCTAGAACCACCAACTTTCTACCCAGTAGCGTCATGAAATGCATAAAACGTGCCCTGTGCAACGCGGTGTTTGACAGGCAGGTCAATCGGTGTGGAGACGACGGACTTGGTGATGACCAGAATGTTCTCGAAGCCAATCAGCACCACCAGGTAGGGGAAGAATTCCCTGGAAAAAAAAACAAAATGAAAACGAAATGATGGCACAAAGCACAAAGGGATCGAGTGGTGCTAGGGCTGGAATCCTGGGGCCGTTTGTAGACAATCTACGCGCCAAGGTTGTGTCAGTTTTCTCGACTTCATGAGGCAGCTAATTGGTCGGGTAAAGGCTACGAGTTCCCCTATAGATTCGGTGGCAGGGGAACCCACTGAATGTGCTAGAAAGCCTTAGCTACATCTTTTTTTGTAAAACGGACGAAAGCCCTTTAGACTAACTTGAGAGTAACTGGCAGTTAGATCTAAAAAAAGAACGGGGTTCCCGGGGAAGCTGCACCCAACCAATGCAGACGTCGCCGTCGAGAAAGAGCATTTCCTGTTTGGTGCAAAAACAGATCGATTCTCACCTTCCCCGAAGAGCAGGAGACATGAGACCGACGGCGACACACAGACTCATCGACATCCCGAGCGACGCGACAACCGTGAAGCACGCGCTGACCGCCAGACCCAACTTCGACTTGACCATGTCGATCTTGCCTAGGCGACACAAAAAATGTGCGTTGACATTGCGACAGGACGTTTAAAGCACTAGCCAGGGCGCTAGACTTGGATAGCCTGCCGTGGGTTAGTTTTTTTGGTAAACGAGATACTGTCAGACGTTCTAATCTACTTCCCGACACGAAGAAGAACACGATGGCGACTTTCCATACAAAGGGACTTATTTACAAAAAAGTCGATTGGACACAAATCCCATTGGTTGAGACATGAGCAGGCTAAAGTGTAGCAAGCTCAAGGCTTACCAGATCGTCTCGGAAAAAAAGGTAGGAAGAACAAACTTACTGACTGAGAGGCAGACATACAAAAGGAGGAATGTGTAGACGACAAAGAAGGGGGCGTACTGAACGAGGAGATTGTGCCCGCGATAGTGAACAACGAACACGCGCGGTTCAGAGCCCTTTCCGAGGAGGTTGTCGGGGGGCTCGTGGGTTGTTCGACTGCTGTCCTGCTCCACGAAACGCGACTCCGGAAACGCCTCCATGAGCCTCTCTCGGAGGCGATGGATGTACCTGAAGCAGGGAGGGAGCAGGCGACCTATGTGTGAACTAAAAAATCTACTGCTTCTAGCACGTAATTTAGATAAATTAGAGCCTCTGACAATTTCATACGATGGACGCATGCTTGACAGCTCCTAGCGTTTTTGAACTCCTTTCAAAATGTGGAACGTCTGCATCAACTGAACTAAAAAACACCAGCAGTCATATTTAAGGGAGAATGTAAAAGTAACAACAAACTGATTGATGAAGAACTAGCTGCTAGAGCACAAACTTGGGAGGTCATATAGGTAAATCAATGGTAAGAAAGCAATTTCAACGTACTCCGGATAAAAATCTCGAAGAATCAAGGTGGTGGCAAATGCGCTTACAACGGGAAGATTGCGGAAATTTAGTTTTGACATGCCTGTGTGACGACGCGGAAGGCCGAAAAGAACATCAAGAAGGTCCTGACTTTCAATTAAACAAAGTCGATCTGTCAAATCAAGATCATCTAGTTGGAAGAGGCTCAATTGATTATTCCAAATCAATGCCGGGGAAAGTACAGCGCAATCATAAACAGGAAGGGAAGGATTGGGTAAGGCGATTATCCGTGACAGTGGGGCCTGAGTGGCCGCAGGATTAGCACTTTCATCAGCACCCAAGATCTCCTTGACCTAAAAAAAACAACACAAGGTGAAGATAAAGTTTACCAAACACAGATATTGCCTCACCCTCAAGCACATTGACTGCAAGTCCCTTGACTTGTTTCTTTTTTTGCACTTGCGATCACCAAAATTTGACATCTCATCGGCAGACAAACTAGTGGACTCTATGATTCGGAGGATTTCGAAGCTGGCATTTAAGTTGCTGCGCAACCCATCTACATAACTGATGCCAGGGTCCCATGGCGATATAGCAGACCGGAAGATAACTTGCGCCACGAAGATTATACTCAAGTTTTGGTTAGAAATTGTCTAAAATGGCATACGAAGGCAGGCTGAAGCAAAACTAACGGGTTTGAACACACCCAACCTGTCATGGAACCAAAAACCTCATAAGATAACAAACACCCAAGTAAAGAATTCACGAAGGGTTTAAAGTAAGCTACAACACTAAAAGTCCTACCTGAAAACTTGGTGCTGATAAAACGGATCTGTACTGTGATTCCGATAAAGGAATAGCTTCAAACGGGACGTCACGGGGAGCAGTGATTTTTCGCAACGGATAGCTATAGCAGTTATTTCCATAAGTAAATCATACCAGAAAAATACAATAATGCAAATAACCGTCAGGATAGTCGATTTCGGATGGGTGGAGCAAAACAATCCGTGATTATAAAATATCTTTGAAACATGATCAGATATCCTCAGCATATCTGCAAAGACAGCGACTCGCAAGCCACGAAGACAAAAACTGAAAATAATTTAAGGTGCTAGCTTATTGTGTTTGTGTTGAAATGACTGGGTGATTGAAGAATTTCACAAAAAACGAAGTCCCATCGTACGAGCCAACTTAAATTGCGCGCCCCAACTATGAGTCATGCAAATGTAATAGTGGGCAAGCAGATGACCCATTTTAATCGATTCACTACAAACTTTCGTGAGAAAAGTATATGATCTCATAGTGAGCATTTTAACATATCCTTATTAGGTCCTAATACCGCATTGCTATTTCCATCTGACAAATCATGGGATTCCAATAAATACTCGGATTAAAAAAACTTGGGGATAAAAGAACATTAAAAGGAGCACAAAAGTTGCTAAACAAGAGTACCTTAATCAAGCCATTTAACAGCTTCATGGTCTTAAGAAAAACATTCCTAAAGTCATTAATGTTTCTGATAATATAACTTGCTTCTAAGCACACATAAGTCATGAACTCTATATAAACCTTCCGAGCTAATGAAGAAATTGCCATAACTTCATTTTTATTATCGAAAATAGCAGGTGACACTTCCTGTCAAAGGGGCTTAATTACCTAATATACGAATAAATAATGGGCAAGAATAATGTAACCTAGCTACTCTTCTGTACCAAGTACGGGAGAGTCACTAAACCGATTAGCTTTTAGCCCCAAAGTTGTGGTTCTGCTGCTTGATTTTCTATGTGGAGGTTAATTAGAATAAATTTCAGTTTTTACCTAGGAGTTTGACTATGGCTTTGGTTCAAATTATAGCTACCAATGGCAAATTATGCTAAACTTTTCAGATAGGTGATTAAAGAAACTTTTTCGAAGTCAAGTGATATTACTTTGTTTTTAAAAGTATTATGGTTTGGTTGTTTGGACCTTTCGAAATTTATTTGTCCATTCGATTGGAAATGAAATCAAATATTCAAGTCTCGGAAAATTTTCAGTAAGCCACTCTTACCCTAATTGTTTTGCCCTAGCTAACTGACTAAAAACGATTCCGATTCACTAAAGTAGTTATGCTAGTTTCAGAAACTCAATCTTGTTTACATTGTACAAGGCATAGATGTTGGATTAAGGAAATAATTGTGCGCTCTTAGCTGTAGAAGTTATAAAGCTATTGTCGGAAATTTTTCTGTTCGTCTTCAAAAGGATTCTTGAATGTACTTACTTAAAAACACCAATGTGAGTAAAGAGATAAAATGGCAAACATTCGTAATCGTGCAACAATTATTTAAGCATTTCTGGTTTCCATATTTAACGACAATAAATATGGGCATTACTACCTTATTCCCTGCAAAGGAAGGCGCTTCAAATTCTGGGGCCATATCTCAAATCATAAATTTTTTGCAAAAAGTTTGCACATAACTGTAGATTGCAGACATGCACAGCCTGTGTGTAGCGTGTACATAAAAAGCCGGCTGAGGTGTTTTTTTTTTTAAATTGGGCATGATAAAATGAAAACGTTCAGATACAGGCCTCAATTTTTATTTCTATTTATTCATTCTTCCTCATTGCTGTCCAATCCTTGTGTGGTTACTGATTACATGCATCGGCTCAAAAGTGGTCAAAGCAATTTGTTAATGATCGAAAATATAGTCTGTTCTGTTTGGAGAGTAGATGTTGCCTTATTTGCTTATTTTCTGTTACTATAAACGTTGTGTTTGAAGATTGCGTATTAAGACCTAGATATATAAATTTCCTTGATTTTCCAAAGACACATGTGACATTTTTTTTCTTAACGTTATGGAATAATCTTAAATTGGCATTACCATATGAGACTATAAAATTAGGGAATGCCATAGAAATTTATGTTCTAAAAAAATACACTGAAGATGAAGAACGGCTAACAAGGTTTAAGGCAAAGATTATTAAAGAATTTGTCACGCTAAAATTCTTTTAGTGCTTCAGAATTCTTTTAAGAGTAATAGCAAACTAAACTATCCGGAAAAACGAGGAAATATCGTAATAAGTATTATAATGTGTTCTATGCTTATTCATTCTATAATACATGAGCATTTATGATAGTGTACCTTGGAAAATGGCAGGTTTGATGTCTTGGCAGACGAAGAATCTTAGCGGTTAAAACCAAATACAGGTTATTTGTTCGATGCGCATTGGCCTTCATGTATAGGCCTTTACAAAATTGTGTTTAATTTGCAAGTAAATATGCCTGACGACAACGTATAATTTTAGCGCATGTGTAAAGAGATTTTTTTTGGAAAATTTAGTACGGAAATGCCATTTGGTATTCGAAATACCTTTTAAGGGGGTTTGTTTCTTCTTCTAATTTCCATCCCGTAAATAGCGCTCTTTCAATTTCAGAAATTTTGTAATTTACTTGAATCAACCAGCTCAAAATATTCAATTGCTTTTAATGACCTCAGCAAATTTTTGGGCTCTTGCCTTTCCGATCATTATTGAAAGGATACACAAGTTCAGCTATAATTGCTTCACAAAAAGCGATTTGCTAAGAAGTTAAAAACGCTTGAAAATTAAAAGTTCTCGGGCAACTTATGTTTCTAATAGTCCGTATAATTTTTAAAATAATTCGTTATCTAATTTTAAAGTATCATCTGTAAACAACAACCATCAGCTGCTCCATTTAACATTATATAGCGATGCGGGTAGAAGAAACCAAAAGGGCTTGTCATTGTGAACTAATATACATGTGAACATTAAAAGATTAATGAGCTGCTGCACATTTCTTCGATTTTGCATTGTGCATCATTATTGATAAAATGGATTAACGTATTTTTTCTTAATTTATACTCATGTCTGAAATTTTTAAATCAAAAAACTGCAATTTTTGAAATTTCCTTATTTAAAAGAGTTTTAAGTGGGCAGGTAAAATCAGCCCATCCAGATTTCTGATACTTATCAGCATTGACCCACTCAACGTACTCTAAATTCATTTTACTTATCAATCACCATCGAGTCTACGAGTTATGCCTTATAGGCACTCGACTGTTTGCGGTCACTAACTTAGTAATGCCTTTACAATGGGAGTATTTGTTTTAACAATCTAACAAACTAAGATGACCTTTAGGTGACAACTTTTAACCTTTTGATTGGCTTGTTGTTGTTATTCTTAGATTGGCTTAAAGCCGTTTTGCGTTAATCCGAGAACCAATTGGGTGCCTGGGCTGTTCCGCGTTTGTCTCTGTCATCGTACTTCGTTCTACTGTTCTTTTTCTGAATGGCCCAGTCGAATTTAACTGACTATGAAGTATTTGAAGAGTTATGTACCAAATTCCCCGTACTGTATATTTAATTATTATTGTTCAGTAGGTGGCAATAGGAAAATATACTTTTCTTCTCCATAACATTGGCCCTAAAGAAATTTCCTGTCCCATTATTTTCTTTCCACCGACCACATGCAGTCCTACAATTTACTATAAAGTGCAACTATTTCTTGCAAAGGAGGGTTATAGGACAATTTCTGTAGGTGGTCTATATTCTCTCCAATTTTAGGTTGATTACCCCGCAACATACTCAACTGATGAATTTTGTGATGTATTTCTGAAACTGCTTGATGAAATGCATCTGACGGCTGTTCATTTGGTTGGCTCCTCTCTTGGCGGTTTCCTTGCTCAAAAGGTTTACGAGGTTTCTGCAAAAACGAGCGCCCGTGTAAAGTCGTTGATACTGTGTAATTCCTTCGTTGACGGTTCTGCATTTGATGGACATTTATCTGCTAGATTGTAAGCCTCAGGAATGTGGTTATGCCTACTTTTCTCTTTGTTTGTGCTCCTACAGAACGACAATTAATCATATTTAACTTTTTGTGATATAATATTCTTTTTTGGCCTAATGCATTTTAAAGCCAATTAGTTTTTGACAAAGAATGATTATGCAGTTTTTAATGAAGAATATTGGTGTACTAACTGGGATCGTTGCGAAATCAGATTTCAACTGCTTCACCTGTAACTCACTCCAAAGACGTCGTCGTATTTTTTATACAGAAATGACTTAACCGAATATCTAGCACGAATTTTAGTCAAGTTTTCACTGTCTGAACAACTTCGTTGTAACTCATGATCGACTTGATATTCCTGTGCCGATAAACCTGTCAAACTGTTTTCTACAACTTTCTATTTCTTTATACGAGTTATCTGTAGTTATCTGGACAATTTCCACAGAACATGAAGCCATTTCTATGTTCAACGTTGCTCTATCATGTAGGTTCATGGCTGTGTCTCAAATCTATGCGTTATTGGCAAAGATGTAAAGCTTTTGCAAATGTGAATACCCCTCCTAGTTTTGTCATTCGCGTGTCTCCTATGCTCACTCTTTTGTAAGCCACAAGCTATCTCATAACTCCAAACCTTCTTTAAGCATAAAATAAAGGATATAGACAAGCACGCCTATTTGTTTTCGTTAAGTTTAAATGTGTTATTGTTGATATCGAGGGAATTCAAATTCCATACAGGCTATGGCTACTTCCGGCAGCGGCTTTGAGGATGACTATCGATTATCCGCCAATTCCTGCCGACGCTGATGACGCAATTAAGATGTCAGTGAAAGTGGCGAAAGAGCAGGTATTGCATACATGTATCATTGTTTTCTTGTGGTTTATTTATTTATTCATTCAGAGATAGTTTCTTTGTCGAAATCGTCAAGAAATTTCGGTTTTAATCAAAATTGGCACACAAATCAATCAGTCAGGGGATATGAGCAATAGCATCATAATGCTTTGTAGTCGTGATAACCTAAGATGGGTTCCTGGAAGGCCATTACCGCCATAATTGATATTTTTTGATTTTCGGGTTGACAATTTTGCGAGCGCCTCAAACTAAAAAAAGGTAGCTAGGTTATGCGTGAACGTATGTCCGATCTGCGTTCTCGCTAATTCCAGACTTAAAAGTCGGATGTCCCCTTCAATCTAGACTTGCCTAAGAATTACAGAGGCGAAATCATGGGACTTCAGCCAAATGTATACGATTAACTCAATATACTGCTACCTACGCTGAAGTGTTACATACATTCGAGCTGTAGCTAATATACGCTAACAAAATCCTTCTAGCTGGCTAATCCATCGGCATTCACCTATACATTGTCTTTAGATGGATAAAATGTCTCAATCCCAGCTTGCGTCCCGTCTAACAATGGCATTTACGCCGGGAAACATTGACTTCGAAGAATTGCAGAATGCAGACATCACGATCGTTGAGGTGAGCTTGCCAGCTTCAGCTTGAATTGCATCGGCCCCCATGCTTCTCCCATTGTGTTACAGTAAACCTCCACGCTGGACAGCTGTGGTTCCTTCCTAATATAAATTTGTCAAGTAATTTTGAAATATGTTGCCACTAAATGCCTGATCTGGTATGCTCGGACATCACATGAGGATAAAACTATGTTCTTTGTCTTACTTTTATCCCAAAACGCATTCTTAATTGCACTGCATTTTAGACGTTAGTGATGAGTCTCCAAGTAACTTACTAACTACCGCTACGAAGTTGCTTCATCCAAATGAGTGTTGCTTTTCGAACCCAAAGTGGACCCGATTGTTGGCCTAACTGAGTCCAATCACTTAAACGCCAAAGCATTTGGTTAGCCGTATTCTCTCCCTACACTAACACAAGCCGCTTGTATGTCTTCTCGTCTAGGTAGGGGACGTGGACTCGACCTACAAACGGCACTACGAGAGCGTCCACCAGGCCTATCCTGGCGCCAAAGTTGCCAGCATCGACAGCGGCGGTTACTTCCCCTTCTTTAGTCGGCCCGACGAGTTCGTCGCCTACATGAGGGTTAGTCTTGAGGCCCCCCCCCAATGCCATTCCAACCAATAGCCGTATTTCTGGGTGCTGACGGGTGTCGTAGTTTTGCTAAACATCGGAAGCCAATTCGTGTCAAACCAGTCCATAGAGTGCTCCAATCGGGTGTAACTCTGAGGAGGCAATTTCGGCCAATCAAATTGTAGTCTGAGGAATCAGTGTCAGCCAATCAGATTGTGGGTGTAGGAAAGCATTCCCGCCAAACTGCAATTAGTTTTTTACGAGTTTTAAAGGTTTGGTGTGCGGATCGACGTTATCACTGCAAATAATCAATCCTTTCTCTTGGCTAATTCTGATCCCTTTCTTACTTCCGGAGGACCAATCACGTCCAGCGGAATCAGAAATCCGTTTTGCTGGCAGCGTTTCGCGAGAAACTCAACTGTAATCTTCGTATCATCAAGTAGCCTTTTTAATTGCCGGCGTTGACTCAGCCCACCCTGGTTTTGAACTTTTCACAATGTGTGGTTGCTATTGGAACGCCAAGTGTCGATGTGTGTGGTGGGTGGTTTGAGGAAGAAAATGATTTGACTGCGTGCAATTAATGACTTCAAAATCGGAAGTGGGGTTCGTGTCGGCGCCTGTGGCGACGCATCGCTGCCAAGTTACTTTTCACCGTCTTCCAATTTCACCATCCACTTAGGCAGTGTTTCTCGTCAAGACAGATTACTTGTCTACGAAGAGGGTTTTCCACTGTGTGTGTGTGTGTGGGTGACGTTGGTGTAGGGCCTCGCTTGAATGTTGTCCAGTTTGAGTGAGTGCTCGCAGCGTGCCTTGTGATGGCATTGCCGAATGAGTAGAAACTCCCTTTAATCAGACGTGGATGTGCAAAATGTGTGTTTTCATCGTTTTTTTCAGATGCACTTCGAAGCCTACCTTGACACCCCGTACTTCCCGGCTATTCAAGACGATTGAATTTAGGGGTTTTCGCGTAAGTTGCTTGGCTAGTTCTTTTAATCACTTATTTTTCTGCCAAATTGTTACCATAGCAACCAATGGCTCTCTGTTACTCCGCTTATCTCACGGGCTTGCTTTGAGCTTTGAGGAGGATAGCAAGTTTACGGACGTGTGGCCGCTGTCGCTTTCTCAACACCAAGAATCTAGACTGTTCAAGGCATCGTATTTTTCGTCCACCGACACGTCATGGTTGCGGTAGATTGTACCGTGCTTAATCAAGGGTTGACAAGGATTCGCAAGCGTATCAATTAACACTTCCCATTTCCATTAATTGAAATGCTAGATTGCTTCATTAACTCCGTGGTTTCGTCTTCTATTGGTTATCTCAAGGTCATACTCAAGTGTCAAGAAAGCGATTTTAAGCTGTGGCTGCTGCAACCTGCTGCGTATGTTGCGGTTCGGTCGTAGAATAGCATGGCTTACGGGGAAATTAGGATAGGGATGTTTGTCGTAAACTCACTATAAGCGTCTTGGATACGCCCTTCACATCAAACCGTGATTGGTTCGTTCTTTTGTGAAGTAGTTACGCTAAAATTATGGGGGGTTACTTCTCAAACTTTGACTTCATTCGTGACGCAGGCTCTTTTTTCACCTAGGCCACTCGGATGGGCGACTTAACGTGACTCCGGAACACATCCGTCTTTTGTACTTGTCTTCGATCATTTTTTCCCTGTCTCCTGTACTTATCTTTGTACATTTTTATACTGCTTCAATTTTTGCAAGTAATAACTAACCTCGATAAGTTGACTTCACATTCTTGTGCAATTTGTGATGAAATCTGGTATGTTTCTCATATCTAGAAAGCCTGTTCTAACGGTTTTATGAAAACGCGCCCATTAAATCTGCAAAAAAATCGAGTGTGCAAACGTCAAAAACGGTAGCATCATTAAACGAGGTTAGAGGTCATGCACTGAGCTGGTTTTTCATTGGCTGGTAGCATTTAAACTGGTAGCTAGGTGCCTTGGAACTAGCTTGTGATGCAATTCAACACATTCAGATGGGGTTTTACTCATAAATCACACTTGCGTCATAATTGTTGCATCATCAGTGGTGCCTCGTTTCGAGTAAAGCGGCGATTTCGCCGCCTTTGAGGTGATTGGCTGAGCGAGGTTCTTTCAACTCACGCGCCACCCAATTGGTGTGTCGTATTTCTAGAAAGTAAGGTATCAACTATGCACGAGACCACAGTCTGTGAAGGCGTGAACTTGCGGTTGAATATAGATATTTTCAGTTTCTTATTCATTTGTTTAGTCATGCATTTCGTCCATGAAGCTGTGCTTTCAGACAGCAGATACAAATGGGTTAGGTTTTGTAAAAGCGCTTAAATGCCACGCTAAATCTGACATCTTTGTGGTATACTTGCCCTCCCCTCTTACTGACAGCAAATCTTACTGATCGTACCGTCCCGGCTCGTTCTCTCATTGGTTGAGCACGCTCCCTATGGTTAGTCATCTCAAATTGTTCCCGCTTCTCCGATTGGTGCTCTGCCGACACCACATACCTCAGGCTACCAATCACAGCAAACTTAGGGCTCCTGTCAACACTAAAGAGTCACCAGAAAACACTCGACTTGACTGTATTATGCTTCACACGCACACGTGATAGCCACTACACCATCGTGCTTGCTGGTGTATCCTTCAACGGACAAGACGGCGGCGTTGGAGTTCAGTTGTCCAACTGACAAAGAAGTGCCGCCCCCCGCTTAACCCAGAAGCCCTCAGGCTCCAACGAGGGGAGGAGGATGGGTAGGACGAAGTTGGTCGAGTGGCCTGTTGTCGAGAGAGTTCCTCTGCGCTCACTGGTCTTGTAAACCGGACACACGTAGATGTTTTCGCCGCTCTTCGACTGCCGCCGCGCGGTCGCCTCCACTGGAACCAAATGGATCGCCGGAAACGGTTCATTCAGCACCTTCGGCAACTGGTCGCCTAGTTTCATTCTACCAACGTCAAACAGGACTGTGTGCATCTTGTAGTTGAAAGAAAAAGAACAGACACGAGAACCAGATCCCGGCCTTACTTATCCAGATCCCAGCGAAATCCGTCAGCGAAAAGACCGTTGATGTAGGCGCCGTCGCTCGGCGGTGTGTCGACGGTGAGGACGGGCTGCACCTCGAAGTCGAAGACGAGCTGGTCAATGGGAATGGTGTAGTGACGCGCGTGGTTCTGCAGAACACCGGTGAGGAAGGCTTGTGTGAAGAAGAATCCAGACACCCAGAAGGTTGGGGGTTTATCGTTCTCGCTCCAACGCTGAAACCAGTGGGGAAAACAAGTTCAATTAAAGTACTGCAACTCGCGTTGCCAGAGATCAGCAATCTGCGTGTTGAAATCTACGTATAACCCTAAGGGTGGTATCTTCCTTTGAGAATCGAATCCTTTGCCGCCATCCTACAACTTATTTACAGTGCCATTATCGATCGTCGACAACCTTGAGCTCCGTACGCCTACGCGAGATGCACTCACCCATCAACCCGCACTAATCGATTTGACCGCCAGCGGCATTTTAAATTTGCACTTATCGATTTACAAAAAGGGCGCCAAATTCGAAATTTGTTGAAGGAACAGGACAAAAAAAGCAAAAAAATAGCACAAACTAATCACCTGGAAGAAGTTTAGTCGTTCACAAAGATCGCTGATGTAGCTGCCGAGGGGTTTGAGACTGGGATAGGATCGGGCGCACCAGACGTCGGGAATGCGTCCAATCAACAAGGAGGCCGCGGTTCTCTCCAATTCCGCCGACATCACCTCTAGACCGCTGATTGCCTTCTGCAGATTCAACAGGGTGTGTCGAATTGTCGAGGTGAGACTAGCAAGAGAGACATGCCACGAGTGAGGAAGGCGACTGATTTACCATTGGCACCTCATTCAAACAAGCATTCTATGAAATTGATTGATATGACAACAGCCTAGTCAAAACGGGAACCAGGCAACATTTAGTATACTACCGATTTAAAGCCACTCTCAATGAACGCGGTCATCTTGAAATTTTCTCATTTCCCATTGGCTGGAAGGTGCATTAACCATCATTCAGACGTGGAAATTTCGTCTCTATAGTGCTCACTTGTTGTAGCGCTCCATCTCCTGCACAAGTACGGTGTTCATGCTCTCCTGGTAGACCAGTGGATAGCGCTTAGACGTTCCCTCGATGTCGAAGTTGGGGGGCAGTTTCCCGATGATGTCGGAGGCGATGTCGTTGAGTTGGGACTCGCTGCTCCCGGAACTGCTCTGTCCACCGCCGATGCTGCTACTGCCCACGGTCAACAAGGCGGCCGTGAAGAGGGCCTTTGTGTCCAATTGTTGACGCATTATGTCCACATTCTCGTGCATCCCAAACACCTCTGGTGTTTGTACTGATGGCAGGTTCTAAAACACGTCAAAACATGTTGCGTGGTCTTTCTCTGCACCCTCCCACTTATACTTAATGGTGACTCGGAATTTCGCATGCTCACTTGGCGACTTCTTTGACTTTCAGCCACGTGACCACGATGGAAATCGCTCTAGCTAATTTTTCCAAGTAACAATAGCCTGGGTTTAATAAAAATACGTAGTATCGACGTTGAGTGCATTCCAGTTCTGCAAGACGCTTATGATTGGTCCGTGTAGGAGCATCTTCTATTGGTTAACTCAAGGTCAGTAGAGGAACAAACAAAGCACTACGAATTTAAAGCAATACGTTTTGCTGGTCATGATATTAGATAAATTTGTTTTGTGTGAAAAATCTGAATACACCCAGACGCTAATAAGTGTATATGTGCAAAATACCAGGACAAGTAACTAAAATTAGGAAAACCGAGGCAACGATTTGCGTGAGGCAACGTCGAATCACATCAAATGATGATTGCATGCGTTTTTTTACGAGAACGCCACGTTTCTAGGAAATGTCTGAACCTGTTGTCCATCAAAATCCGACTGCTACTGAGTTTTCGTCGCTATCGATGCTTAACGGATTCGATCGGCTACAAGATACACACTCTGTCGGTTTTGTAGTGAATCGTGTTGATTCACGTCCAATAAACCTGTCCTCGCAGCTTTTAGCACACCTCCCCCTTGTCACGTGAGACCGCTGGTTAATCACCCCTCTGAATGTACCATCACCACCACCACCACTTCCCGCTTTGGTCATGTGACCTCACAAACGCCTGTGTTCATATTTACATGTCCACTCAACTGTACAACAACAACTTGGTTGAGCGGTCTAGTAAACGGTTGTGCCTCCCCCACTCTGGTCTTCTATATTTTCGCGGGAACGCAGGGTAACGTATTGGGCCTAGATAATCGCAGTGGCCCCGGCGTGGTTCAAGACAACATGCCGGGGCCCTCAACAGTTTTAATAACTTTAAGAGGTGAGTGGCGTTTGTTTAAATGAACAAGCAAGGTTCCACCAACGAGGGGCTGCTACCTTGATGAACTCGACGTATTCCAAGTACTCCATTTTCGGCGGTATAAAGTAGCTTGGACTGGTTGGCAGTTTGTACTTGTTTTCTGCTACCAACGCTGGACAGTAGAAGTCACGCAGGATTGTCATCAGACAACGTCGATCCCTTTCATCGGTCACACGACCACCGTAGTTGCATTCTCCCGTCAGGTAGTTGATTGCCTCGAACGGCACCTGCGAGGCATCGGCAAAAAAATCAAGACGTTAAACACCCGCCATCCCGGATATCGATTTGATTTAATGCGAACTGCCTGAATGCAAAACCGCGCAGTTTAAAATATTTGCTTTCTGTTTAAGTCAGATTCTATGAGGCAACGAACGTTCTTGCCCCTTTCTCATTAAAATTGTTGAATAATCTCGAAGAGGCTGCCGCCAGAGACAAGAGACTGATTTAGTACGCATTTCGAGACTAATAATAATAATAATGTAATGATGATGATGGTGGGGAGAAGTTGCCCACTTGCCTGTTCGTACTCATTGATGAAGTTCTGCAGCTGCCTAGCTGAAATGTGCAAGTCGGATTCGTTGAAGCCGTACTGGATGTTCCAGCCAATGGGACCAAATTGGCGTCTTTCTTGCACCAAGGCGTGGAAGAAGCACAAGCCATAGAGCAGTTTCTCGAACACCTAAATTCAACAAGGCGACAGCTTAAGATAGTTACCAGCGCGTCGTTCACCCTCGTATTTACGACCTCGGTTCCTGTTAAAGTAAGTTCCGCGTGTAAATTACGATTACCTCAGCTGACTAGGTTGTTTGCTCTGTTGGTTCACGAGACCAGCTAGACACGAGAAACATTTTCGCTCGGCAGTCCGGCGTCGTCATTCCAAACACCTCTACAACTTGGAAGTCTTCTACAACTGCAGCCCCACACCTCAACGCTTCAGTTACCAGTATCAAATGACGCTAGATTTGACGAAAAAAACCTGTATGTTTCACCAATAGTAGAGGAGGTGAAAATGCTTACAGACTCGCGGTCAGGGCATCCGTAGAAGAAGGTGGGATCGGAGACGGGGTCGCTGGTGTAGGACTGGAGGAGATTTTGTCGCAACCCAGTCGGTGGCTCATTCGTGATCTTCACGCCGTTTTGAAGCACCGTGACGGGGAACTGAAGGTTTAAAAACATAATCTCACACACCTACACGCCTCTACACGCTGCATATTTGCAATAGAGCAAATTTTAGGTGCATAACACTGAAAATTCGATAGCCAAAAGCGAAAGAATTTGTCTTAATGTTTTTTTGTGTGTGCCATTCAAAGCCAATCACGATGAAAGGCAATCATTCATTTAAAACGCCTCCACTTATAAAAGACGAAATATGCACCTGCTGCAAAGGTGGCTGGTTTTTTCACACAAAACTAACTTCCTTAACAAACCCGCGCACTTTAAATTCGTGTTTCTGTGCAAATGATAGTTCTCGAGCCTCCCTAGACAATGATTATTCGCCGCTAAGCAATCGCTTGTCTGGCCTGCCATGTCTGATCTACGCCGATACTGGGAGATCTGCCGAATCACTCACCACCGTGATGATCACGCAGAAGCGCACGGTGGGAACGATTTGCACGCACTGAAGCTGGTTTGTGCAGACGTAATGTCCACTCTTTCCTTTTTAGTTTATCAATATTGTTATGTTTGATTATAGCTTCAAATGTCACACTACCTAGTTGGTGTCAATTCCGTGTAGGGCATCTACGACAAGCTCGTAATTCTTCGAAGTACTATCAGCTATGTTAGTACCATCCACATTCCAAGTGTTTCGAGTTATGAATCAGCGTGAGAATCAGCAAAGTCTGCTCAAATTGCTCCTGGCGATGATTTTGTCACCGAAGGAGGCTTTTTTCGCCTCCGAAGTAGAGATTTCAGATTGACAGATTGATGAAATTAGGGTGTGGAGTTTCTAAAGCTACAGTCCTACAAACTGCCACCTTAACCTCTAAGTGACATGAAGAATAAGTGCACGTCGTCCAGGCAACCGTTCTACGCCGTTTCAACAGATTTGGAAAGGTTCCAGTGATTGGAAATGGAATCAAACACATGAAGTAGCTCCAGGGCATCCCGGACAAGTTGTAGGCAGGCTTCCTACTAGGCCCAAGTAGTAAATCTTCAGCTACAATGTTGAAAAGCCTGCGATCGGAGATCGATCGACCGATCAATCAATGAGGAAGATCAAAATAGCAACTGGGAGGAGGGCCTTCATCCGAGTAAG